CCCCCCCAGGTTTTGAGGAACCTCAGAGATTTTCCAATTGGGTTAAGGTGGAGTTGCACTGGATCTGTAAATTGCCAACGCTTGATGGGCTTGCCAGCTTGCACTCTCTTCAATGGACCTATTAACTCCCTACTCTGATATTTTTAAATACCCCTAGATTAAGAGCTTTGTTATGACTGCCACTCACAATTCTACTCTCCGATGGCCTTTTACTCCTTTTCAGCATTCCTGCCTTCATAGTCCCAATGGCAAGGGGGGCATTTCCATGATCTATTCCTCACTTTTTGATGGCCATCGTCCCTCTTCTACACGTTGTCCACTGGGAACGGGATCTCCAGTTCCACAGGGAACCTCAAGAATGGACCCAGATTTTGGATACAGTATTTGTTCTATCAACTCAATAGCCATTAAAGCAAACTATAAATTAATATTGATATGGTATATGCTCTTCCAAAGGAAAGCTAAGTATGTATGAGGGTCTATAGGGGCTGTCCTGATACTGACACATTCCTTTATATCTGGTGGAACTGTCCCAAAATTAAATGTTTCGGGATTAGAACTTACTGACTAGTATACACGGTACTGAGAAGAAGTGTTTGATAAAATCCTTGGGAAGCTTTATTGACTTTATTGAAGCCATCTGAATGTGCCAAAGCTCAGTTTATACTGCTAACTTTCATTTTCATGAGTGCAAAACAGGTTTTGGCCAAGGCCTGGGAATCGGCAGTGCCTAGTGGGCTGCAAGTTAAATTAAATATGTCTTGGCATTTGGTGAACGAACACATTGCTGCCATTCGGCATTACACCATGCGGAAGTTCTGTAAGATCTGTGACCCCTGGATCACTCACTATATGTTCCGGTAGGGGGGATGTATGCTCTGATTTACTGGCCTGCAATCTTGTTTGTGGGGTGGAATGGGAGGGTTGTATACCACGGGTTCTCTATTTGGGTGACTATGGCTTTGCTCTTCTGATGGAATGTGTTATTGTATGTGGCCTCAAAACCTATATGTTCTGGTTCATATTTTTTGTATCCTTTAATAAAAAAAGTATTGTGACTAAACTGCAGTCAGTCATCATTACAATATAGATAGGGTTCCAGATAAAGTATACTGGTAGCAACTAAATGACCACATACACACAAAATGAAACATTTTGGGTGAGTAGAATTTCCCTTGTCTAATACTCTATTTATATCTCTCAAACTTTAGTGATAACTTCTCTATGTTGCATTTTCTACATGCTGTGCTCCTTCTTTTGCTATTAAAAAGATGATCAAAGAAACCATTGAATTCCCAATTTATTATAACTGATTACATGCAGATGTTATCTGTGATTGTGAGACAGAGAAGTGGGGGAAGAAAAATATAGTGAAGAACTGTTCATTCTGAATAGACCTGAAAGAAGAGTAAGAGTATTTTGCATTTACTTTACAGAATTCACAAGTTGGTGATTGATGATGTCCGACCAGAAGATGAAGCCGACTACACGTTTGTTCCCGATGGATTTGCTTTGACTCTGTCTGCCAAGCTCAACTTCCTTGGTAAAGTTGCGTGCACCCTAGAACAAAATATGAAAACATTGAATCAAACTAACCTATCTACCTCCCTTCCTTCTCTACCATAATCGTGCAATTAAGAAGTCACCTAATTAATTGAATTTGTTTAATTTAAGCTAAATGTTTAACATTATTTTAAAGAAATATGCATTTTTAAATGAAAACTGATTGATAGAGCAGATAAATATTTTAACCATTGCCTGGGCTGGGTCATGCTATATGGCCAAAGGTATGTAAACACTAGGGATGGGCTGCATGTTCGAGCGACCGCGCAACATCCCACAAGGCAATGCGCCTTCTGAAGCTCTAATTGGGTAAAGGCTTGCATCTGACCACAGTTCAGGTGCAAGCCTTTGCCCAATCAGGGCTCAGTACTCTGTTAGAGTTATGATTGGGCAAGGTCACTATATAAGGCTGCTTATGCCGCAGCCCTATGTAGTGTGCAGGAATGAAAAGAGAGAGGTTCTGTAGCAGAGTTCTGTAGCAGAATTCTGTAGCAGAGTTCTGTAGCAGAGTTCTGTAGCAGAGTTCTGTGGCAGAGTTCTACACCAGAGTTCTACACCAGAGTTCTACACCAGAGTTCTACACCAGAGTTCTACACCAGAGTTCTACACCAGAGTCGTGTACAGCGTTCTACGTCAGAGTCGTATACAGCGTTCTACGTCAGAGTCGTATACAGTGTTCTACGTCAGAGTTGTATACAGCGTTCTACGTCAGAGTCGTATTCAGCGTTCTACGTCAGAGTCGTATACAGCGTTCTACATCAGAGTCGTATACAGCGTTCTACATCAGAGTCGTATACAGGGTTCTACATCAGAGTCGTATACAGCGTTCTACATCAGAGTCGTATACAGCGTTCTACATCAGAGTCGTATACAGCGTTCTACATCAGAATTGTAAACAGCGTTCTACATCAGAGTTGTATACAGCGTTCTACATCAGAGTCGTATACAGCGTTCTACATCAGAGTCGTATACAGCGTTCTACATCAGAGTCGTATACAGCGTTCTACATCAGAGTCGTATACAGCGTTCCAGATCACAGTTCTATACATCGTACAGGTCCACCACTTCACAGGCAGTTTATGGGGACCCCCCATGCACGATATTTGAAGGAATTTTTCATTTTTATTCTTACCCTCTAAGTGATGTAAAAATCACTGCTCATTTAAAAATGTTTTTTTTTCATTGATTCCTGTCCCCTAGTGCAGTACCTGGACCCCCGTGCCAATAACTTGCATATAAGCCCTCTTAAAGGGGACAATCGTTTCTGAAAGTTGTACCCCATTGACTTGCATTGAGTTCGAATTCAAACTTTTCGGATGTTCAAATATGAACCAATTGCGGCCCTGTTCTGCCCATCACTAGTAAACACCTCTCCAAAGTATTTTGGTCAGTTGTTTCCAGCGAAGGGTACTGTTAATCTGCACTTTTAAACAAGTGGCAACCATTTGGGCAAGGCC